TTTCTTTGAATTTCGTAACACTCTCTGTGAAATCTTTTAAAAGAAAACGTGAAGCGTAAAAAAGACAGAAAATTATCTGTTACAATAAATGAGATGTTTTGTATAATATATTGTTGCTATTTGATTTAAAAAAGATAAGAAAAGGAAGTGGATTGGGTAAATTTGTCACAAATATTTCATCTTAAATTATCCATAAATTTGTGGAATAAATTGTTGGTTACCTGTAAATTTGTTGAGTAAATTAATGGTTGGAAACATTCTCCCTAATATATAACCCTAATATTCATCCATCCATTCATCATTACATCCAACCAATATTTCCTTTTCTTCTCTTTCTTTTTTTATTTCCACGAAATTGAAACGAGAGATTAATTGTTTTTCAATTCATCGAAAGTTTCAATTAATTACTAATAGTGTGCAATAATAGATCATTTCCTATGGTTATTCGTAATTGTTGATTACCATCTTTTTGACCTTTGACTATTTTAGCCACTTATTTTTTATCAAATCCTCTTCTTATTTTAATCAACAACAACAATTTTGCTTGCATTTCTTTCGGAGTGTTGATTGATTCATTTTTTTCTTACTTTATTGAAAAATTACATAAGACATATTTTTTTATAACATTGTGCATTTTGCATTGTTTTCTTCAAAAATTCAAATATTTTTATTTATATTAAATTTAGATGAAACTGCCGCTGGTCTGTTTTTGCAACCGTTTCGAAAGAATAAACGAATTCGTACCGCATTTTCACCCCAACAATTGGTGGAGCTTGAAAAAGCATTCGAATTGAATCATTATGTGATCGGAAATGAACGTCGAGAATTAGCAACCAGTCTTTCACTCACTGAAACACAGGTAAAGATTTTGATTTGAATATTTATTCTCGTTAAATATGAGTAAGTCGAACTGAATTTGAAAAGCTAAATTAAAAAATGTATCTCAAAGAAATTTGTAAATTTTAACTCAAATTAAAAAATGAAATTATGATGAAATCTTTTCGATTTAATTAATTTTTTTAAGCTAAAAAAGGTTACTTGATAAATTATATCGACCAAAGGCTTCCTTTTAATTTTCTTTTCTTCACTTACAAATTTGGAGAAGCATTGTTCTTTCTGAGAAAAAATTATCTAATGCTTACTAATATGCTATTGATTGTTCCCTTTTTTAGTTCATTTTAAAGTATTATATATATGTAGCAGTAACTTAAAGGAAATCTCAAGTTTATTTTTAATAGAAATTTCTAATAATTTTACCGTTGTCATTTAGTTAATTCCTTTAGTAAATTTAGTTAATTCCCAAATGCAGCTATTATTTTGGTTTTTAGCATGGGCACATATGGTATATGGGGATTATTAATAATAAACCAAAATAATTGGTTAAGTTTTATTAATGATAAAAAATCAAAATAATATGTCAAGTTGCATTTTTAACTCAAATTTTCTTCTTTTCTAAAATCAACCATGCCATTCTTAATGTATGGGTTTACGACTTAATTAAAAAGTCTGCTAATTCGAAATGGCCGTTAATCGTATTTAAGATTAGAAAAACTATAGCTAATGAATGGTAAATTTAATTTTAATTTTTCAACTATGTGAGTAAATTAATTAGAGAAAGGTTTTGGCAGACGTTTTTTGTTATATTTTATAAATGCAGTGTAAAATTTGCCCGTAAATTTTAAAAACTAGCTCAAATTCCATTATCATTCGTAAAATTACATCGTCATTATGTTCAGGAGCATAATTACTTTGATATCTTTGATGAAAGGGAGGGGAAGGATGAAAAAGAAAAGGGTTTGTATGGTACTTACCACAGTGGCTTGTTTAAAGCCATTAAGTAAACAAAAAAAGAGAAAAAAATGCCAACATGACAAGATTTGACAAGTGGAATGTATTTGAACGATGTAAGAGAGAGAGAGAGAGAGAAGAAGGGAGAGGAGAAAGAGATTTGAATCCAAAGACTTATGATGTAGATGTAAATGGATATTTGAAAAATATTTCAAAAAAGTTTTGGCAAAGCTATTTAAATCATATCAACTCGCATTTTATCAATTTAACTTTAGTGGCTAATAAGAATAATTTCCAAAAATGGAAAGGAATAAACTAATAAGAAACACAGGAAGCTAAAATTTAATCGAATTGAATAAGGAAATATGCATATTGAAGAGTATTGTATTCAATAACTGGTAAAAAAGGATGAACAAAAGAAATACGGTAACTTAATGAGTCTATGTTATGTGCTAATTAAATGAATTAATTAGATTAATTAAAATGATATGAATTAATCTTTCCAAATTACACAAATTATTTGGTGATCAAATTCTATTTGTTAATTTGTTCATTAATTCATTGATGGAAATTCTGGTTAAAAATATATGACGCATAAAAATAATCTATTGCATTATTACCATCATTCAAATTTTCGAAAGAAAAACAAAGCACGTGTTGATTTCATTGTGATTGATTATTTAATCAATTCTTTAATCAATAATAAAAATATGGAATCTATCGCATTTGCTTTGATTTCCTTATTTTTTACTTCTTATTTGTCAATTTTTCGCATCCAAATATTTTGAAAAATCGAATATTAAATTTTTTTAGAAAATATATACGAATTTTCAAAATATAAAGTAATAGCAATTTAATAATTGGAAGAACTGACATAATATTTTTTGAAATAATTGGAAAGGGATTACTTAGCGGAATATTTTATCCAGTCCTTAAGTAATACATTATCATTTCAGGTTAAAGTATGGTTCCAGAATCGCCGTACCAAACATAAACGAGTTAAATCAGATTCGGGGAAAGCGACAGCCTCGGAAGGCACTAAATGAACGAGTGAATTTTCCGTAAAAATTTCTTTTTGGGATGACATTTTTTGAATTTTTCATAATTGCAAAAAAAATAAAGCGACTTTTATTTTTTCACTGAGTTTATGTGTAACTTTCGGATTACTGTAATTGGGAAATGAGAAAAATGCGAATTTCACTGAATAAGTCAAAATGATAAACTTTCGTTGAACAGTGAATTTCTTCCAAAAGTTTTATGAAGAGCAATATTTAACTTTAGGAATAATAAATTTTCATTAAGCTAACTTTCCAGAAAAATATGATAAAATTCGAAAAATCCTAGTACCTGAGATTATAGTTTTTCAATTAAAACAATTCCGAAACAATTTGGCACATTGAAGCCGAATTATAATTATATTCATCTAGTTAAATAACTTTACTGAAATTTATTCAAATCAAAATTTTTTCTACTAATAAATGGATATAATTCATTTCACATTTCTTTGTTTATGTCTTCATTGATGACAATTCGGTTGTATCATATAGGTTATAGATTAAAATAATCCATTTGTACCAAAATTATACACAATATATCTGCTTTAAAGTGAAAAATTAAGTTTCTCGCACTCATATTTTTTTGCTTTTTTCTTCTTTCTTTTGAATTTTTAAAATTTTTTTAAAAATTACATAGATTAAGCAATAATTTTGCATCCTCAAGCTTTCCTTCTTTCACGGACATTTGAAAATTAATTTTTGCATGGAAAGAAAAAAAGAATGTGGAAAAACTGATCGCTCAATCGGATAGAGTGGAAATTAACGAGAATTTATAATTTTTTTGCAATGTATTTTTTTATTTCCAATCCTTCGATTCTAAATTTTCGATTTTCCCATAATTTCCATTTTTTCACACGCTTTAACTCATTTGTTTATCTACTTTTTTCCATCATAAAATGTTAGTGGATGTGTTAATTGAAGTGATTAATTGATTGTCCTTTTTTAACAAATCCATCGTAACTTTACAGTAATTGCAGTCGTACTTTTCAATGTATACTATCAGTTCTACAGTAATCCTAATTTTCTTTTCTGGTTTACTATGTTTTCATAGTTTAAATTGAAATTTTATGATGATTGCCATACGTTTGTATAATGCATGGATTTCTAAAACAATATATTAGATCATTTTCATTAAAAATTATTGATATTATTTATTCGATCAATAATACTTTATGTGATCTATAGCTCAGATTTTCCTTTCAAAAAATACTTTACTTCTCAATCGATTAGTAATATCTATAGAAAGTTTGATTATAATAACTATTAATACCATGGAATTAAACAGTCGATCAATTAATCGCATCACTTTCCTTTATTGACCAAATTTTTAATTTACAACTTAATGATAACTAAGAAGAGCTAATAAAATATATTGAGTTAGCAAAAGAAAAAATTATCTAAAATGTTAATTCTATAATTATTTTAATCAAATTCATCATAATCTTATCGTTAAATTATCAGTATTGTTAAGCAATTCGCCATATATTTATTAGATGGGAAGTGTAATTCATCTCATTTTCCATCGCCTTTGAGAGGAAATTTTTGTTGTAAAAAGATTGCCGATGAAATGAACGGTTGGTGTGATCGGTTAATGCTTTCCAATAGCTTCATTTTCGGCTCATTTATTCATCAAAACCTAAAATTTATTTCGATTTTACATCAAAAATACATTAAGGTTATCGCTTTTCACAAATGTTTCCAAACATGCAAAGGAAGGAGAAAATATCATTCCACAATTAATAGCTTCACAACCTTTTTTCATTCCTTCCTTCCTTCCTTCCTTCTTTCTCTCTTTCTTCCTTTCCTTTCTTCTTTCTCTTCTCTTCTTCCTCTTTCCTTCTCCTTTTTTTACTCCCATTACAATTCCTTTCAAACAGGTAATTTTCTTTTTTTCTTGTAACGCTTTGTTTCTAATTTTTGTGGATATTATCGGCTGATTTCTCTGTTACATCCAGATAAATAATATATGTATAGAAATTATATAATATACTTAAATAATGCATATATATTATACACACAATTAATAATGCTTATGGGAACATATACTGCAAACATAATTCAAAAACACACATTATGCATACATATTATTTATTTAGATTATTTAAATGATGCAAGAATAGATATTATATATTTCTTTTTTAATAAATTTGTTGTTGATTTTCATAAAAAAAAAAGAAAGGCACATTTTTATCCTTTCTCACCCTTAATCAATTTTTGTAGTGTTTATAGGTAAATTGAGCATGAAAATTTGTGTATGCTAAAATTTCCGAATGACATTAAGAATAGAATACGGCAACAAATTAGGGAAACATGTGAGAAAAGTTTTGGTAAATTTTTTTAATAACTTTTTTACACATATCATTTATTTAGTATTGATTATTTGCAAAATAAATTTTTCCAGACAAAAAATTAAAAGAATTTTTTCGTTTTTTCTGCTATTACTATAACATACATTTCTTCATATATTAGTGTTTTTATAGTTTTGTCTAAGCAATAACAAAAAAAAAAAGAAAAGAAAGAAAGGAAAGTGAGATTTGAATGATTAAAATAAAAATTATTAGGAAAAAACAATTCCTTTTCTTAATTTACTTGAAAAAAAAAACAAAATTTACTTGAAAAAAATCGAAAAGAAAGAAAAAAAAAGAATATATAATTTTTAGGAATCATAACAGCAATACCTCTCATATTTATGTCATACCGTTAATGTCTTTCTTTAATTTTGTTGCAATTAAAATGGCATAAATTATAGAGAGTGAAATGTACCGCCTTGATGTTCGATTCATATTCTTTTCCGGTAATAAATTAGAAAATGTGTTTAAAAATTTTTGCAAAATTAAAATCTTTGAACATTTTTAGAAATTTATTTGCAAAATCAAAAGTTCAATTAATTTTGCAAAACTAAAAATTAATATTAAACATTAAATTTTTCTAAATTTTAAATATTTCAAAATTATTTTAGAAATTTATATTCTTCTCAAGGACTCCAACCTGGCAACGCTATTGTTCTCATTTCAGTCGTTTTCATTCCATTTTAAAAAAGAGGAAAGAACAGTGAGTTGAATGAGAAAGATAAAAAAAATGAAAATAAATTTTAAGAAAAAAGAATAAAATTAAACTTATTTTAAGAATTGAACAAAGGCAAAAGAATCATCTTAATTGATGAAATTACTTCTATCGTTTGTTCCTGTCAGCCATCCATTCAATCCTGTTCTTAAATTAATCCAAAAAGCTTTGAAGCTTCGTGTCTTTAAAATTAGCTCTTAAAATTATTCCTAATTTATTCCTGAATGTCACATTTTCATTAATTTTATCGTATTAATTGATTAACTAATACAGAATATTATAATAAAAGATTGAAAATCAAAACTTAATGAGCAAATTGAGCATGAAATTTTTCTAGTAAGAGTTAAAAATTAAAATTAAAAATAACTTCAAATTTCGGTAATTTTTTTGCTTTTTCAAAAAAAGCTTTTTCAACAAGCAAAAACAAAAGGTAAAATCAAAATTTCATCCTTAACAATTATGCTTACATTTACAAGCAATTAGTACATATGTAAATTAGATTACGGTACTTGTTGTAACTTGTAAACACCGTACTTTTCTTGCCTTTACCTTCTTCAAATTTTTTCAGTGACCTCCCACTTCTATGCTAACCTTATTGAATAAAGTTCATCAGCGATATCAAACTATCACCATTACTCCTACAGCCAATAATGATCATAATAATGGCTACCTATTGTTTATACTTTTACTAATACTTTCAGCAAATAAAACATATATTGTCCAGAAGTGACCAACCAATCTTTTTGTAAATAATTGTCCTTTTATTTGATTTTATTTAGTTTTCTTTTTCATTTTTGGAGTTTTTATTTTTTCCCCCTTTTTTTACTTTTTCTAATTTTGCTTTATGATATTTCCAATTATATTAATTGAAAGTTGAAATTGACCGAATATAACGAATAGAAATTAATATAAATAGTAACACTATATTCATCCCTCAATGAAAAGGTGATTAGATTTCATTTTTACTTAAATCAAATTGAGATTTCATTTCACATAAAATGGGTAATTTATTTAAAATTTTATTTCTAATAAATTTAAATTTGCAGCAAATATTTCAATCATTTTAAATGTTTGGCAATTTTGCTAAATATACTGTTTAATTTCGATTTAGTATTTTATATGATGATATATAAAAATCGTGGTGATTTAAATTAATGTTTTTATGTTGTACCAATTAAATTCATATTTTAAATTAAATTTCGAAGTTGATGCTGATAAACAGTATTTGCTCCAAATATTTTTTTTTAATCGTTTTTAATATTTTAAATTAAATTTCAACAATATTTGATTATTTTCAATTTGATAATAAAATTAAATTCAACTAATAATTAAATAATAGTAATTCAATTAAAAATTAATTAACTGGCTGATATCAATCAATCTATCATATCAGTCCAGTTTATTGATTGATGAAAGAAAGAAAGTAATGTAATCGGAGAATAGTACGAACTAACAACTTGGAAATGTTTTGCTAACGGTGCGAAGAGCAGCTAAATCTAAGAATTAGCACTTGTTCATATATGCGGGCAGACAAACGGACGGACAGAGAGATAGAGAGACACAAAGACAGACACACATACACACAAACACAGACATGTACACATGAAGAGAGACAGAGAGCACGTATGGTATACGCAATTTGTATCAAAATTTACCGAAAATTATACTCGAGTATCTAAATACTTGAATTATGTTAATAGTTTATAAATTATTTTTCGTGTTATCTGCACGATTAGATCTCATGTAGCTTCCGAAGAAGTATTAATACCCAACAGTGGCAATTAAAGCAACGTAAACTTAAAACCAATAATTACTGCTAAGAAATTCAAATTCGAATGAATAAAAAAATAAGTTAGGATTTCATTCTATTTCAATTATTGTGATTATTTCAAAAGTTTTTAATTTTTAAAAAGGAATGAAAGTAGAAGTTACGTTTGTAACAAAAAT